CGTAGTGGAGGGCTCCGGAAATTTCCACCACCTGGGGTTCTTTAACGTGCACCCAAATCTGAGCACACGGGCCTACCAACATTTCCACCTCCATCGGAAATGCAGCCACCACAGCCGGGATTCGAACCCGCGACCTGCGGGTCAGCATCCGAGTACCTTAGCCACTAGACCACCGCGGCAGGGCGCGTTTTGGTAGGTGTACAACTATACGGCACTGTAGTTTATTGATCATGCGAGGAGCCTTAGTTGTGTTTATCTGGTCATGATACCACTACATAAAAATATTACTATCACATAAACCGTGACACATCGGTACTTAAAATGTACTTCAAAACAGAGTTACCATGCGCAACTGTGTGCTTAGTTTTAAAAACGTTTTAAAGAGGCCAGATGTTGAAAATTGACTCAGACGGCATGCCTTATATATAATGCATGACTTCACTGAAAATTTCCCATCTTTTTTACACTCTCTTCAGCGTTTGTGTGGCATTGTTAGTGACCGACAGAAGGCAGTGGTCATTTTTGTTTGAAAAAAAAAAACATGCTTGTCCCAATAACCAAGTCTTTGTTGTAGCACTGCCATATGCACGTAATTTACCAATAAAAGCTATAAGCTGAACTCTTATATAAATTTTTTTTTATATTCTTAGTGGTGCAAGAACATGCGCGTACGCGTGCGAAACGCAGTGCAGCGCAAAGCGCCGTCAGCCATTAAACTTTCCTGACTAGATTTATCGACTGTCCGACATTTCATGGTGGACAGAATGCGAAAAAAAAAAATCATATGCGTATGAAGTGCGAACGGCGGTACTGAACGAATCGCACAGATATGCGGGCCTTCTACGATCTTTCTTTCTCTCTTTTTTTGTAGTATGCAGATGACAAAGATGTAAATAAGTAATTCAGTCACGCTACAGCAGTGCGTAGCAGGCGGAAACGAGCTAACCACGTACAAACAACACAGAAAAGGCGTGATTTAGTGCCAAGGCATGAGCAGAGTCACCCAGGGCCAGCATCCCTATGAAAGGCAGAATGCGTTTATCGCGGGTAACGTTAGCGTTTTACAGGCGTCGTGCACCGATTCAGTAGAGAAGAGCGTAGATGTTAACAGCAAACTGTAGTGAACGCATTTTATCCACCGACAACCGGCTCAAGCCGCACGCAACGAAACGCCGCAGCGTGCATTTGTTTGTATACGCACCACCGACCGCATATCCACACTTTCGCGGGAACGGTGCCGCCACCTATATCCCGATCTCGCCGCGAATACACGTGCGTCTTAACAACAACAACAACAACAACCACAACATTAATGATAATAATAATAAAACAGTCGCCTGGCCTGCGCAGAGCACGCAGCACTGTCACCGAGAAAGCTGAAAGAGCGGCCTTTCAGAGCCTTTTTTTAAACACTCTTTATGTAACTATCATGCACACTTGCAGGATACCCACTATGGCATTAATCATTGTGCAGTATAGGTAGGCATTCATCATGCCACCCTTCGTCATTCTTTGGAGACGCGTGGTATACCTGCTGCACACTTGCAAGAAACTTTGTGCATTTTTTTAGGTGTGCTTAACGACGATGAAAAATCATGACAGAAGCTTTTGTAATTCCCACAATCTCCCACAGTGGGTATGCGCCACATGTGAACAAGATCTTTTGTAAAGTTTTTGGAGCATTCGACGACCCTCTCTTCGCGCAATTTGCATTATGTGACCTCCGATTGTTCCGTTGTTGTTATGAAACGTTTTATTACTTATATTGACGCAATTCCTTTCCTGACATCAAGCCTGTCTAGGGCAAGTTGTAGAGGTAGAATACTGGACTGCAGCCACACAGGGGACCCGGGTTCGAATCCCATGGTGTTCTTAATATGCGCTTTTTTTTTCTTATGTCGTGCGATAGTGGTTAGGGACACCGGCGGTGGGCAACGCGCGCACGTGAAACGTGTTGTGATCTCATGACATCTTTCGCAATAATAATAATAATAATAATAATAATAATAATAATAATAATAATAATAATAATAATAATAATATAACTCCTGAGGTTTCACGTCTAAAAACCACAATGTGACTATGATGGTCGCTTTCGTGAAAGGCTTCGGAAATATTGACCATCTATAGCGTTCTATATAGGGCACCTAAATCTATGTACACGGGCTTTAAGCATTTCGGCTCGATCGAAGTGATGCTGCCACCGCCGGGATTCAGCATGCGCATTTATACGCGCTGTGTGTTGTTCGGACACTAATTTTTTAAGTGGAAATTCTGTGGCAGTAACACACCTGTAGCCTTCGCAGGCGAGCTATGCATCAATGTGGAACTATACTTTGGAGCTGCTAAACTTAATTCCCAGACTAATTAATAAATACTTGTTAACTAACGCTTCCAAAACATCAGGGTATTTCATATGCGAAATTTGTAGGGCGTCACAAATTATCGGCATATTCTTTTTTTTTGACACGCACAAAATTAAAACGTAAGTGGGGATATTAATCAATGAATTTCAAGACCGCAATACAGGCAATACCCTTACAAAAATGGTTCTTGAATTTCTGATTACATCTTGATATGTTTTTGATGACACATCAGAATGTAATCATAAACTCGAGAGCTAGTGACTTTTATCATCAAGATGGCAGCAGGCACTTAACAGAGAATACACTTCACAAATTATGCAGAAAAAACTACGCAGATTTTCAGCATGTAAACCTGATGTATAAACACTAAAGACATTTAACATTAAGTTCACAGCAGCCACTTAGCAGAGAATACTCAGTATATGATCCTAATTTTTGTGCGAAATATTTCCTAGTAGAAGTTAGCTATATCGCTTAAGAGATGTACACGAAGGTTGAAGCCTATAGACTTTTCATAGTCAAATATGGACCAAGGGGTTCAAACCCGAACCTCTGGATCCAGAGGTTCGGGGTTTGAACCCCATGGGGTTTGAAACCCGTGGGGTTTGAGTACATATCACTTCGAGGAGATATATAATTTCGACCAACTTGTTTTGAGTAATATTTAGCTGTCTGATTTGAACTATGTGGTTTATCATGCCTATTCAATTGATCCAACACGGGGTCCGGACAGGAAGGTGTGGTCGAGTGTCATTTTGTGCTCTGTACCACATTGAGAAAAAAAGTTCGGGGGTGGGGGGGGGGGGGCACGGGCCCGCTACGCCACCCCTTGGATGCGCCTCTGGTTCAGACATTGATGGGGCGGCAAATTTTGCTGCATATTTTTACACAGCGTCGCGTTTTGACAGAAATGGCCTCGGTGCCAGAGGGAGGAGGTTGAGCGGGGGGGAGGCACTGTATAGCAATACTTATATCATACACCCCCCACCCCCCTCGAAGGACAACTCTGTGCACACCTCTGGAACGCATTTCACCTCGTTCCGAGTGCTTACTACTTTTTCCTGTGTCATAATCATGACTGGGGGCACAGCCAGGGGGTATGGGGGAGTCTTCAAACCACTCCTAAAATGTTCAATTTTGCATGAGAATATATGCACGCACACATACAAACCCATGCACAAACATACACAAATTATCGTTGAGCGCCGGCCGCCCTAAAAAATTTCTGGCTACGCTACTAATCACGACTGTGATTTTGCCATACCTTTTCAGCATCTCTTTGTCTTAGTATCAATGTCCAAACCCATTGATCCACTTTTGAAGTTGCAACCATTTTTGCTGAGTCACGGTCATCTAGTGAACATGGCTATAACTCTTATCCCATTATTTGACCTGTACCTTTCTATACAACCATCACAACCAGCTTCACAGTTGTTTAAACTTACCAGGCATCATTTTCATGCTCTGCTGACTCAACTCATGCCTTAATCATTCTAGGTTCATCATCATGGCTCTCATCATCGCTATTGCAACCCAGCTTGTGTGAACTACTGACACTAATATGCAATTCTGATCACTTTTTTTATTTTTTGACTGTCCACCCACTTGCACTGTCAAGCTATGAGCGCGACTATAATGTTAACCTAGCTTTAGTCATGTCCTTCTTCAACTTGGACATTCTTTGGTATATCACATACCATGATTATTCATTTTATTCGCGAAATATCAATTCTTTTTCAATCTTTTCATCATTTCGGCTCCTCTTTTGGGAGGTCACTTGGTAACGATACATATTAAAGCTTCCTAAAGCATTCACTGATGTGTACAAACACAGTGCAGATGTAATCTCACACTAGCATATAGGAATATAAATTACAAGAATTTTTCATAATTATCTTGATGAAATTCAGATATTCAATTCAGGTGCTACAGCCATGTTTTGTTTTTTTTTTCTTGGCAAGCAGACCACAAGTTAATTTTTTGTTGCGTGTTAGAACGTCGGACCCCAAACATGCATGCCGAACAGTGCGAAGATGAGTCTTCCTTACTTTTCCTGATAATGAATTGTCAAATAAGATTCCTTTGCTGATATGTAGGCAAACAAATCGAGGTCGATATTGATTCATATTGAAATTTCCATTTCTCTTACTCCATGCCATGGATGCAGAGTGCTTATATATGCATACATACATATACAATTATGTTGTGTGGTGTAAATTAACCTTATTAATTGTAATATACATACAGAGAAAAGACGAAGCAGCAGTTTGACCAATATAAGGGCAGGAGTGAAGAGAGTAAGAGACATTAGTTAAAGAGGAAGCAAGTGTGGACATAAGAACAAGGTGCTTCTCGTGATGGATGGTTTTGACTAAGTGTTAAGGCTTCACATACCTCAATAGTTTTTAACCCATGGGCGTACTATTTGTTAAAGGTGCACCATGCAAAGCAAACAGCTAACAACTGTCACCCTGACAAGGGAGAAAAATTTGCTGCGAGTTGCCCTGGAAAAGTAAATGTGATTGATTTTGCTGTAAATTCTACTGAAGTTCACATTTTCTTAACAATGACCAATTATAGAATCTCGCATGTTGAGTTCTCAACAAACCTAACAGAAACAGAATAGAAAAAACATTTCTTTTCAACAAGTTTATTCAGAAAAGCACATGTGTGATTGATATCTTAAGCAATTTCGACGTACGATACCCATAAGTTTACTATACTTAAGGAACAGCTAATCCCCACAGCCATAATAAACCACATCCAAGAAAGTAAAACAAAGTAAAAACTATACAGATGCAGAGCACTTTGCATATATGTGTGCAACACAAAAGGTAATTACTTTAGAGCAGTGACTTGAGCTGTACACTGCTTATCAATTAATTATGGGAAACAATGAAAACATAAGAGCCTTCATGTTGACATAATATTAAACAGCCATATGTAACACAAAAGTGACATACTTGTGATACTTTTTTGAAGTACTACATAAATACCAAAACAAATAAATTTCTAAGCACATTTTGAACTAAGCTTCTTAGCAGTGTAATACACAATGATATTTGAATCGATCACCTCGATGCTCGATTCAAACAGGTCACAAAGCTTCAGACGAAAAGCACTTCAGAACCTCATGCCAGTGGTATCAACAAGGGGAGTATGGATGCTGCGATTGAAGCACAACTGTGTGAGGAGAGAACAAACACTAGTAACGAAAAACAAAGTTTTGTTAAAGGGTGAAGCAATCTTCATATTTTACAATGTGGGAATCGAGAGTAACCGCCACCCTGGCGCCTGTTTACCCAGCTAGCACGTGTGGCAGAACCACGGGGCCCCGAGTGCAGTGGCCCGCCGTTATTTGGCAGTATGGCTGCCGTGGCTATGCCGCCAGGCCTTTTGTCTGGTGAAAGTTGCACGCCAGCTTGTCAGAGTGGAACCACGTGTTCGGACATGTCCAAGCGAAGCGCTCGCTTACCCTCAGGCGGGTCACATGGGCACGCTAGCACACGTCACTGCGCTTTGCCTGTCCCTGCTGGCTGCCTGTGACATCCCCTCTCCCCAGAGCTTGCTTCTACCCGACGCTGGCTTGCTGTGAGATGCTCTCAGGCTGGCACGAGAGGTTTATGCCCACAACAAACATGTATTTGCCAATCAATTTTATTTAGGTGCAATCTGCAAAGATTGTACGGCCTCTGAATTATGGTGGTGCAATTTTAATTTTTGCTGTCCACGGTGTTTCGAGCTACATTTCATTGTGGGCGAATGCGTGGAGTGCAGTGTCCGACCAGCAAATTATCCTGCGGGAGGATACGGCCCACGTTTAATGCCATACTCATCCCTCGGTACATGCGGAAATGATGTGCTGAGCAAGGACGTCCGAGGACTTATGTCTAGATAACACCCCGGGACAACTGCAGTTCAGAGTAGTGTACTCACTGCACGCATCTTTACAAATCAGCAATCCTGGGACCTGGTTTCCATCGTCACGACACGGCATGCCTACCATATTTCATGTTATCGGTAAGCACATGGCCAAGCCATCTTTCACAATGCTCATAAACGATTACAGGTAAAGTTGATTAATCATAGATTAAAGCAAAACATAGTCTACATAGTGTCCATAAAATTTTGGTACTTATCGCCACATTTGGTGCTCATTTTGTACAGTGCAATAATATTTTACCATGACCATTAATTAAATTGCAATGGCATAATTTTAGCATGACTAGACGTTAATTCTTGGGAACGAAGCCCACGAACAACACAATCAATGTACACTTGACGAGAACTGCGTGTAGGTAAGGCAAACAATGCTGCAAATATGAAAAATAAGCTGCTTCTTGCTTTGCGGTACGCATCACAGATTTTTCCGCTAAACTCTTGCCAGGTGGTAAAGGAGCCCTCGTGGTTCTCATACTTCGATTTTTACATGATATGCCATGTCATACAGCCTCTACGTGGCCTCAGCAAGGAACTTTTCACTCACTCTGCAAATAAACAAATCCCCATCGGAAGCCAGTGCAAGACATTTTTCCACTGAAACAAGTGACACACGCTTGATTTCAGCAGTAGATTCAACTTTAACAAAATGGTAGGGTTCATCCTTGCAGAACACCTCAAGCATGTTGTGCTTCACAATGTACACCTGAACAGAGAGCACTGTCTCCTTTAGGCATGCACACTGTTCATGCCCCTGTGAGCAGTACACACTAATGTCCCGAAGGCGGCCAAACAACCCATTGATAATGACGAATGAATTTACCCTTCGCGATCTGTCCAGATCCGCAGTGCAATATGCAACGTTTCCGATGCTCATCTTTCGAAAATGAGTGCCATCCGCACTTCGCACTGCTTTACCATAGAATGTAGTGGTCCCATTCTGCACAGATCGTTTTCTTAATTCGTAGCCCTTCATTTGTGCCTTGAACAAATTCTGAGTGTGTGCATTTTCTCTTGCAACATTACTCCAAAGCGTAGGTAAGGCTTGCATGAGGAAGAACTTGTCAATAATCTGTTTTTCGGGGTACCTGGTCCCTTTGACCATTTTCACAAGCTTTCCATTCATAGATTCAAATCCGAACATTGAATGTGCCCACAGTGGACCCCAATGCTTCACTGTGTCAACAAGGTGAAGCAGCAGATGCGCATTGTATGTCATGTTTGTTATGCCATATAGCTCCTGGTACTCTTTGACAAACTTTACCATTTCATTTTTCATAATGTTGAGCCTGTCAAGGGCTACGCAATCGCTCAACAAGTAGTACATTATGTCAACGAATAAGACCCAGTGGCGGTAATTCTTTTCTGGAACATAGCCAGCCAACACAATTGGCGAATAAAACAACAACCAATTCCGCCAGTCAGTACATTTCCAGTGTTTCAGGTCATTCAGTGATCTTGGAAGCCTTGATATTTCCCAGATTGGTTGCAGGCTGAGCAGCTTCTCGTTCAATTCACTCAAGTGAAGGCGAAGCTTAAAACTACGACACCTCTTAGAGTTTAGCCACAGCAATGTCGTAGCTTTTACAAAACCTGCACACACAGCATGCATGTAGTCAACCACAAAGCCAGTAGGAAAGTCAAAGTGGTTCAGCAGCGTGAGGACACTTGTAGCCTTTATGCCACGGCTCACTTGCTCTTGCTTTCTTCTGGCTTTTTGGGCATGATGCTGAAATGACTCATTAGTACGGAGCTTTATAGCAGAAGTGGAGACTGGGTAGACACGGCAATGCCCATTACCCTTTGCAATGACATCTCCAGGATGCTCGCACCATGCGCAACCGTACTTCCCATTGAACTGAGTCATGCCCATAACTTCACATCTTGCGACACTGTCCACCGTGCATGGGCCAGGGAAAACCTTCATATTTTTTTTCTGCCCATGTGAATCTTCCCATGTCATGCCGGTAGAAGAAAGCACATTCAGCGACTTCACAAAAGGCAGGAGGAACGTATTCATTACAGGCTTTTTGGGCCCAAACCACAGACCAGCAAGGACGAGCCTCTGGACCCTGTCTTTATACGTCAGCTCATTAATTTGAGCAAGGAGAGGCCAGAATCCAAACTTGCTGCTTTCAAAAAGTGGAACACCATCGGTGTTAAATGTCAGCGAAACATCATTAGGACCCATGGGAATACTTCTGTAGCCAATGCCTGTCGTGATGTCTGTGACATCGAAAGAGGGGGACGACTGAGCACGCACAACCTCAGCTGTTTTCAAAATATCACAGATTTGTGATTCTATGTTAAATGAAAAAAAATATGATGAACTTTTTAGCAGTGCACTGATGTCATGATGCACATTGCAGTGCTCGCAAAAAACGGTAGATGCCATTTCAGCAGTCCCAATGTAGTTGCAACAATTGCTACAGTATAAATGTCTGTTCTTTGCACTCTCAGGAGAGCTGAAATGTCTAAAAAATTTGTACTTTGAACAAGGCAGCTCTGTTTTTTCCGGCAGATGAGCGCGCAATAACTGAAGCAAGCTCTCGGTGGCTTCTTTCGACGCGTCATGGCGGAGGCTGTGGCCCATAATCAGCAAAATGCTCTCTGCCCTGGTGATCTTCGAACCTGGATACAGCTCCTCGTCCTGTTAGATGCAAAGAAACAAAAATGTTTATACCACAGGCATGCACACAAAAACTACACGCTTATATGGTAGTCCATAACAAGCATGCATGTCCCGTCAGCTTAATTACAGCTATGACAATGGATGACTATTTTTGTTACCATTAAAGAAATGCCTGTCTCCGTGTCTATACACATTGATACATTAAAGCTTTCACCAGTCAAACACCACCTTTGCACATATACCAAAGGGACAGCAATGCCACGTGAAAAAGCATATTTTTTACTAGGTGGTGCTGTGAATTTATAGATTATAAAAAGAGTGCAGGCACGGATGGAGGGCGAATGGGTAGTGGGTGAACTGCAAAATGGGTTCCAGGAACAAAGAAGGTTAGGGGATAATCTGTTCTCATTAACGCAGTGCATTGAAACAGCAAAAAAATGAGCACAGCTATGTCAGTTTTAATTTGCTAAGCGTTTGCACAGCTGATTATGTGTGCTACAACAGCAGGCACACGCAGGGGCTTGTTTGGGAAAATTTATTTCGCATTGTACAGAAGTGAAAATAAAATTATGCCAAGATTAGCAAAAGACCGTAGCCAACGCTGGTTGTAAAGGTATGAGATAGCACTCTGAGGAGCGAGAGATAGATATATGCGAGCTTTTCGGCTTACTTGCTCTAAGTCTTTACGAGAGTACAAGTCGTTCGGCGGCGTTCGCATGCATGATTCAAACGCCGCCGGGCATCACTTACACTGCAGATAACAGTCGCATTACCAGTCGGCTCAGTGACTACTGGCAGCTACGGCGACAATGAAGAAGCATGCTAATAAACACCGCTGCCACACGGTGCACTCCTGATCGTGATTAGGCGCGATCGGGAAAAAGTTTGTCAACTATGATAGTTTTCCTTCGGTAGCTTGCGTAAACGAGCATATCACGACCAAGAAATTTCATCCAGATCCGGCCCAATTACGATCGAAAGTGACCGTGTGACACTGGTATAAGCCTCACCATATCGGCGTTTCCGTCTGATGGCTCACATGCGTGCGCTTCATCTCCACTCGTTTCCGCGTCCGAACTTTCGCTGCTTGTATCCGTGTTCGGCGAGTCGACATCAGTTGGGTCGGGTGACTTGATACACGCACTTTCCACGGACTTGCCAGAACAGTCGGAGTCATCGTTCACAGGAGGATGGCTGCGGTCACAGAGCGTTTCTTCGCTTGCAACTACACTGACTAAATCAGGCGATTGAGCACTTCCATTTTGTAGTGTGGGTAGCGGCGAAGCGTCCAATGAAACTGTCTTCTTCGAACGGTGCTTGGAACGCACAGGAACGTCGTGCGTTGGGTCCAAAATATATAGGTTGTATTTTCGCTTCCGTTCCATGGAAGACCAGAAAACCTTAAGGACCGAAGAGTTATCAATACGATCGTCTCCTCGCAACGTTGTCAGAGAACATCTACCGTTGTCACGCTATTCTCCTGCACTGCACTCGTTCTGAACAAAGAGTTGTGGATTGGCTAGACTTGGCCCAGTGTGAGTCTGTAACCTCCATTATAAAAAACGAGTGCAGTATTATATATTTTTATATAAGTACTATTTACCATACTAAATTAAAACTAACCAAATAACACGTTTATGATTATTTTTATTACAAATACGTTTGCAAAATGTACGTGCGACACAACGATTCGAAACTGCCTCTCAAACCTTTCCGATACTGTTGCTGTGACGTAGGAGTTGTTGTTTGGAGCACGTGTGGCGCACGTTGGAACGAGTGCTTGGTCTCTGCGTGTACAGCTTGTGCGTTGCTACGAGTTCGGTCGTTCGGTGTGAGACTGAGGAAGAGATAGCACAACATGAGCCATATTTTAGTTAAGTGGGTGTCGTCCTCACTGTGGGATGTGTACAACGTCCGAGCGATTGTGGACACCAGCGTAAGTCTGCAGTTGCTGAAGGACGCAAATGCCATTGTAAATTTACGCGGCACCGTGGTAGCGGTAAATTGGAAGGAGGGCGAGCCGGCGGCGGACGCCGAGTTGCTGGACTTCGGTAAGTAATGCCACTATTCATGAGTTCTCGCTGTAAAGTATTTTCTGTTGCCTAAAGACTGCTTAATGTAGGGTTAGAAAGGACAATGGAGCGCCGGCGAACAAGGCTGGTGCGGTCGGCGAGCACGGCTTCGGACAGTGCCGAGGAGGTGCCTCGAGAGGAGAATGCGCCGAACGAGGTGAGTTCTGTGTTAACTTTAATTGCCGTGCGGGCCAAGCACGACTAGCGCATCGAGTTGTGTGTGTGTGTGTGTGTGTGTGTGTGTGCGCGCGCGCCCGACGAATACAGTGCGAACTGCGCCGTCTGTCAGTCGTGTCCGCAGACAGGCATACACAGCGCTAGTTGAAATGGCTCACACAACTACCTGCGGCTTCTTGTTTGCCTTTTGGTAGAGTTTAGTGCCGGAGTGCCGAATGCACTGCACTCGCATCTCACCGCTTTCAAGGAAACATTTGCTGATACCATGACACTCGTTGTGCCAAACAGTACAGAAAAATGCAGTTGCTAGAAAGACTCCACTATGTTTGAGGGAATGTAAATGTGTTGGTGCACGTCACTAAAAACATTGCGCATTTCTTTCCAAAGTAAATTGCCCCAGTTGATTCAATTGTTAAGGTGTTTATTGGACAGCAGTATTTAGTTTACAACTGTACTTTAGTGACTTACCAGGGCGAGGGGCTCGTTAAGTCCCCAAGGGCCTTGAAAAAATCTTTTTCCAATTATGGTGAGCGTACTAAATTGGCCTAAATGTTTGTTGTATGAATCAATATTTTCTGCTCTAGTTTCTGTATCACATTTTTATTAAAATATCCTTGTTTCAAATACTTACAAACAGTTCATTGTAAATCGAGACTGAAAAGGCTACATATAAAATAACTGTGTGACCTGCCACTGTTACAGAATATAGTTAATGTACAGTCACGATCATAAGTTTGGAGACCACGCGATCATGTGGCAGTGTGCATGCGTACGCCATCTAACGGCTCATTGCCTGCTGTCGAGAGTCTCACAGTGCACATGCGCAGCCTTTCTATCTCGCTTTCCTGCTTGCTTGCTTGCTGCACGCTGGCACGTGGGCTGAATCTGGGCATTTGTGGATTTTGCCACCGGTAGTCTTGCATGATGAAGCAGCGGCGCAGCATCCTCAAACTTCTTGGTCCGATCTCTGAGCTGGTTCCGAACTACATAAAATTGAAACGTTGCAGATTGCTATCGCTGGCATAACTTCACTATGGAAAAAGTGCTAGCCACTCACTTGATGTATTTTCATGTTCATGTATTTTAACTGTGCCATGACGTATTTCTATTAGCGCACAAACACTATCTTTGAACTTACACAGCGAAAGGTATGCAGTGGATTTTGTGTATTGCCGGTTAAGCTTCCGCAAGCATGCCACCACGAGTGCTGGTCAAGGAAAGAGCAAATAGTAGATTTATTTCTCCATGGCCTACTGCAACGCCACATCTGGAATCTCTTAAAGAGACCTCGGAGAGCAACAAGCACATCTATGAGAGCATGTACAGCCACATATATAAAGCACTCCCTTTAACATGAACGATGAAATGTTGCCTGCTTGGCAGGCATCTCGAATCCCGTTGCTAGGAGACATTTCCATTTATTAGGAAAGGGTCGATTTGGACCATGGCTGCTGTGCCATCAGCATTACTGGTGGCAGTAATCGCTAATTCCAATAATCAGCCTCCGCTATAGATTGCAGCAAGCAGGCCAGCTGGAAAGAATGGCCGTCTGTGTGCACTGTCATACTCTCGACAGCAGGTGACCAGCCGTTAGACGGTGCGCACTTGCAAACTGCCACACGTTTGCGTCGCCTCTATACTTGTGATCACAACTGTGAGTTTTGTATGAGTTGTAAGGTATTGTAGCTTTGAAAGCTGATAATTCTGCGAAATGAGAGTTCATTTTGCTTTGTTATACGCTCTTCAAACATTTGTATTCACTTCTGTGTTTCCCAGCAGTCATATCCGTTCGTCCCTATAGCCCTGCTCTTCTGGCTGTCGTGCATGCTGAATGTCTGTATATGCAACATATTTTTACTGTTGTTAGTCGCAGGTTTCCACTGTGGTTGTAATTGTGCATGCAAGGCTTTCACAATTGCACATGTAGGTTTCAGATCAAGTAGAGGAGCAGCTTATTGTGTGCTAGTCAATTTTCCATGTGGATGCTGTGGCAGTAGAGGAAGCCATGTACTCAAAAAAAGTTCCCTACTCAGGCTGGTGCTCAGTGTGCCTGCAGTGCCTCACAGCAGGTCAAAGAGCTTGAAAATGAGGTCCGGGAGCTGCGCAAGCGGCTAGAAGTTGCTGAAAACATGCTTGGTAAGCAGCCTCTAGCCCTTTTTTCTTCTTTTGTTGATCAAGCTTGAATGGCTATTGGATGGTGCAACTAATTTGTAAACTAGCTTGGCCATCTGTATTTAGGCAGTGCACATTGCTGCCAAAACTCAGTTTTTTATAAACTTTTCCTTCATGGAACTGCCTGAGGAAATGCAAGAGGTGCCTAACCTTGCATCTAGCAAGGTGGTAAGCTGAACCAGTTCGTACATTGTAAAATGTGTAAACGCCTGCGGAAAACATGAACATTGAGAAGACAGCAATAGAACAAACTCGCATTTACAATTAGAAATGTTGAACACATCAAACACCAATGCATACCTTCTGGCACCCACCTGGTACATGTGCAAACAGCCGTTGCTAAGAAGGGGAAAACATCGCTGAATTTTTGACAGGACTTAAAGAAGACTAGACGACCAAAGTGCTGAACTGAACTGATTTTTATTTGCCTATATGCGACAGGACACAAGGAAGGCCATCTGGGCTTCATTGTGTCCTGTTAAAAATTTAGCCGCGTTTTCCCCTTCTTTGCAACCATGAATCAACTAGCCGAATCCTCAACCCCAACACTCTATTGATAATTGTTTGTTTGCCTATTGTGGCTCTAAGGAACGTTCACTATTTATTGGAGAGGCACGACGATGTGTCACTGACACGTCTCTTAGGTTTGTTATGTGGAACCCTTCGAAGATTTCTTATTCGTTCCTCATGTTTCCTCGCGCTTGAGTGCCTCGTTGTGAAACATATTTGTGCACCACCTTTCCCATCATAACTCTCAGCACCTACTATGGCCATGTGATGAGTGCATCCGATCGTACAGGCTGGAAAAAACACTGTACATTCAACTTTGTGCCATTAAACTTATGCATATTTTTATGGGTGAACTAGTTTCTCCCTCTAAGTTGCACTTATGCATGCTTTTATGGGTGAACTAGTTTCTCCCTTTAAAGTGAAACTTTGTTTTAATCGGGTACATATATAAACTGACTCAACCTTACATGTCGGATAGAGGTGACTAGGTATAGAAACACTAGACATATGAAGAACTTCTTTGGCTTTGAAAACTGAGAGGTAGTTATAATGCTACTGGCATGCCGTGTCATGCTGAAACTCATAATAAAAAGAACAAAACTAAAATTTATTTACCTTAGACATTACAAGTGGTACATCAAACTTCTGCTTTGCTATGTACAGCAACATTTTGTACGCACTGTTTTTACATTATGTTGTGAAAATGTCGCCATTTAAGGAGCATTAAGTTGTACAGTGATTACTAGTATATTCCCTTTATAACAACTGTGGACAGTGGTATGTGCTGCTGTTTGGATAAAGGACTCCTACTCTTGCATGTGCACTCATGACATTCTAACTAATGTTCATATGAAAGGAACAAAGATGCTTTAACACGACTTGTGTTTTGTTGCTGGACTCTGCAGTTGACAAGGCATGTCACCTCTACATTCTAATCATTTTGTTACCTTAATATCATTCTTGTTCACAAGAACACCACACCCTTTGTTCAAAGCTGCTGTGTAAGGCAGGCATGAAGGGATGGTCCACTAACTAAGACACAAAGGTATGGCACCAATAGGCTTGTTGTTTATACTGATAGCAGCACCTTAGTTCATTGTTCATCATTTACTGTAATTACACTTACAAATGTCCAATACGTCTTTCTTTTTTTACACATTCTCTCTAGGATATGTTACTGTCCATCTCAGTGTGTTTGTCAATTTGATGAATTAGAACTGGAGCACAAAAAGTTCATTATTTAGGTCACTGTTGCAAATCACATCGTTATCCTTGTAGCAGAGCAACAAAGTGCTGTTCAAAGTGCTCTAAAGGTGAAACATTCTGAATTTTCATTGCTCTTCTTCGGTAACATTCAAGATTGCTTCCACAATTTCATTTACTGCAGACCAAACCTTACTTTAATTACCACTTGTGCAAGCATTTTGATTAACGTGATTGCATTCATGTGCTCCCTTAGACTCCTATGACATGGTGAAAAAGTTGAGAAAAATCTTGAGGAAGACTGAGAAAGACCCATCTCCTGCTGTTGAAGCCGAAAGGGCGAGTATTCCTAATTTTGAAAAAAAAAAATTTTTTTTGTTTTTATTTTTGTTGCTTCTGTGGCACGCTATCTTGTGCAGCACAATTGATCTCAAGATGCCATAAACGTTAACTCTGGCTATTGAAACTGTACCCAACGGGCTTGTACTGAGGCCTAAGCTTAGAATGTTCACAATGTGTGTGTTGCGCTACCAATGAAATAGGAGTTGCTGCCCCAGTCTGTCTTGTCAGTGCTCGGTTGTCGTGGTTTTTCCACATAAAACCCTGTAATGATATTTATTTTGCCCAGTATTTTTTTTTTCATCTGAACATAGCAGCATTGCTGATCATGGTACTTCAGCAGCACTTGCTGTTGGGTTAACTTGTGCATGTTTTCTATTGTTAAAGGGGTCGTGAAAAGAAAATAAAGCTGCCCGGTTGTAATTTTTTCTGCTCCAATACGGATTAGACATGCCGATTCTGAAATAATTCGGTGTAATATTCAGTCTATAATTAATGACGCCCGTTTGAACTCGCAGTTGTCTTGGGTTCACCGGCCGCCATAAGCACTGACGTGTGACGTCATCCTAATACAAGTTGTAAACACAGCGTTAGCTTTATTTTGCTCAAAAATGATAGATTTATGGAAACCTAGAAAATAAAGAAATAACTCCACTGGTTTGCACACCGAGTTGCATATTGTGCAGCTACAGCAAGTGATCTGCTTGGTTCTGCTTTCAAGTACATCCGGGCCTCCGCCCTGCCCGGCTCTGTTACATGTTTTTTCTTGCCCATCTTGCTTTCCGTGTTGCCTTCGCTCTCTCGATGCAGTGCTGTAGTTTTTTCTTACTGGTTGGTTGGCTCAGTCCTGGATGTGCCAACCGTGTGCATTGTCAGACAGTCTCGTACAAGTTATCGCAGTGCAAACGATGTTCGCGTTCACAAGCTTCAAACACCCAGAGTGGATCTACTAACTGCTACATTAGGATCGCATGGGCGCCTCCGGCGCGACAGTGGAAGAAGTATGATGCGGCAAACCTCGGTCAACTATGGCTGAGCAGGCGTAGTCGTCGTCATGTTTTGTCGGCGACGGGAAATTCTCATTGGCTGACTTAGGATGACGTGAGAGCTTGGAAACCGAAATTGTGATTTTATAACTATTAAATGAACTGGTATGATGAAACGAGTCGGTGTTCATTATTGAAAGGACGACCAGAATTCCGAATACACATGTAGTTGAAAATTTTCGGAAAACTTTTCACGACCCCTTTAATGATGCTAGACGAAATAAGACATTCCAAAAAGAGCATTCCTTTGTTGGTGCTTGTGTGCATGCGTGTGCTATTGTCAATACACGATCATGGTGTCTCCAATTTAAAAGCAATCCCCATGATTTGTTTCTTTCCTTTGTGAAGTAGCTGGATATCTGTATAGGTTTTAAAAAGCACTAGTTCATAAAATGGAATGATAGTAAATTACTCATCCAGCTACAACTAGAAAATGAAATAGGCTGGCCCTAATAAAGCAAAGGTCTGGTAAGCATGGGAGGTGAAAATAAAACAATAACAATAAATGTTAGGTCCCATAACCACCATATAATTATGAGGGACACCGTAGTGGAGGGCTCCAGGAATTCCACTAACCTGGGGTTCTTTAACATGCACCTAAATCTAAGCACACGGGCCTCTAGCATTTTTCCACCATCAAAATGTTGCCACTGCAGCCGGAATTCCATCTTGCGACATCATCTTTCTGTTTTTGTGTCTCGAAAAATGATTGCGATCACTCCTTGAGCTATTTGGTAATATGCCTGTTGAAGGAGTACTGACATGAATTTTAAATATATTGGATTTTTGCTGTAAATAAAAGCGCTTGTGTCGAGAACTCTGAAAAGAGTATCATGGTGCCTAGAAATACATCATTACATCTTTAATACCACCACCTTAAAAAAGACAGTTTCTGTTTCGATATTGAGGTGGTGGTTTCAAACAGCAGCTGAAAAAAAAAAAAAGAAACAGTGGCCGAAAATTGTTTACCCCAGATGTTAAAATTGAAACGTCATAGTTGTTCTTTGCTATGTGGAAAGGAACTGCTCTTTTGCTCAACGGATGCTTTCTGTGGTATGCAGGTTAACATCGGTGGAGGCGTTTTGGTTGAGAAAACGCTCCTGGAGCGCCTCCATTCTCACTGCAATGGGCCTACAAAGTTCGCCAGGCATCTTCTCCGGGGTGTTTTTACTCTGGAGGAGATGCGTGGCAAATCACTCTTCGGCAAGGGCAGCAACGCCAATAAGAATGCCGAAGTAAAGGAGGCACTGGACCCAGTCAGGGTCAACGCAGTGATTGGTGAGTTACTAATGATGCCATGTAAATTTTTTTTCTCATATTCTTGTTTCAGATTTCATATTTGTGTCTTGATGTTGTGTGTATGCGGGGCTGAAAGCAAAATGTGGCTCTACCATTTTTTATCTGTTTCTTAGTTCAAATCACTATTGCCATGACTTCTGTTAGCATAACATTCACTGTATGAATTATTTTGCTGATGGCATGTTGTAATAACGCCTTCTGTAAAGAATGGCAAAATTGCAAATGCCAGGCTGAAAGTTTTGTAGGTCACGAAAGTGCTTACTAAATGCAAGATTTGACTAGCTGTTGCGTCATCAATAATCCCAACTCATCCTTGTTAGGGATAAAAAGGGTGCTATTCTCGAGTTTGGGGGAAAAGCCTCGTTCAGGCTGGCAAGCTTCGATAAGTCACCTGCTGCAAGATGGTAGTGAATAAATAAGTTAGTAAAAATGACTAGTTACGTTATCATTTGTTGCACTTAACGAATTGTCCCAAGTGTTGAAATTTTGCTATCTGGAACAGGTAGTGTTTCAACAAGTTGATCTGATGGAAGGCAAGTCAAGTCCATGTGTCGCAACATTGGCTCTTGTGACATTCCCTTTTTTTTCCACCTTGTTCAGTGTGTTCTCATGATCGCTAAGATGTGCAGCTAGGTATTCCATTCATGAACGGTGTCCTGCAATGCAGGCAGTAATTAAGTAGAAAATATTTTAAGTCTCTTTATGAAAAGGTAGCTTCTGTTAAACCATGAAAACTATGAAGACCTACAATATTGTAAATTCCGGTTAAAAACAAATTGAATTTTTGTTTTTAACTGTGATTTACCCTATTGTAGGTTTTACGGTGCATGTATGTGCCACCATTCATGTAGGGCAGTGCCTCCTGGTTCAGCTTGAACAGCCATAAAGTGGTCCATTCTGCACAGTATTTGCCATTTAGATAATCAATGTCAAATATTTACTGCTGTGGAGTTATTTTTTTTAAAACTGTCAACTTTTTCACATTTTTTGCAGGCTACACATGCAGCAAGTTCGTAACTTCGACACTGCAGCTGAAAAATAGCTTGTCGTCGATGTTGGCACGAGAGCTGAGGTGATGTGCTGCGCACACTATATGTATGTACAATATATTAAAGGAAGATTTGCTGAATACACTGCATCCTGCTTACTGTCATCCATGCAAATGCTAGTCCTACATACATTTGTGGGTACACAGCAGAGGCAGTGGATGGCATAACTACCAGCCAACTTTAACTGTACCGTCTTGCGGTCCTAGCTGTTATGATCTCGGGTGAAATTTCTGATCCGAGGAAAAATTTTGCAAAGAAGCAAGTTGACACAAAGTTGTCACATATTCAGCATGATATTGTCAGAATTGTGACTTAATGAAACACCTCATAGATTCAGCAGAAATAGAGTAATTAAGAATGCACACGATGCTCAGTAATCAAGAACACACCAGAAGCGCAGTAACCAAGAACGCACCAGAAGTGCAGTAACCAAGAACGCACCAGAAGTGCAGTAACCAAGAACGCAACAGAAGCGCAGTAACCAAGAACGCAACAGAAGCGCAGTAATCAAGAATGCACCACAAATGCAGTAACCAAGGAGTAATCAGAAACGCGGTGGCCAAATACATGCAGAAACTCATCAAGCACTCATCAAAAAAACTCATCACAATTTAATCAGGATTTCTGGTTGTTCTGTTGAGAATTGTATACAGGCATTCAGCAGACACTCAACAAAAATTTTTGTAAGGGTACCGAACCAGAACAAGCCAGGCGCGCGAGAAAAACGGCCGATCTGTTACGTCAAAGCGGAAGTATACCCGTGAGGAGGAAGCGACGAGATTTGAATCAAGACGCGTCGAAGCTTAATCCTTACATTTAAAAAAAAAAACGGCAATGTGTTTATACTCAAGTAGACCGCTTACTTGTTTTGCATACGATGAGTGGGCGCTTTTGTGTTTCATAAGCTATAAATACGCGCCAAGCTCCATTTCTCACTCTTTGCCAGAATAAGCAGCGCGCAGTGACTGTCCCCGGGTTTTACGTTGCGGTGTGAAAGAAGAAGTAAAAAATGCGGTCATCTTCGCACAGCGCAAAAAAAATAATAATATTAAACAGATGACTTACATACATCACCCGCAAGGCGATCCGTTGCTGCTGGTGAGATGGCTATAGTCGCTTGCCTCGACTGCAGAATCGCGACACGCTATATAGGATACTTTTCAACGCTGATGACTTTACTAAAGAACTAGGGGGGGGGGGGGGGGGGAGTTGTTGAGGCCTCGAAAAGCACCTATGTTTTTTTTTAAATAATGCCCACAGTAAAACACACACTTCCATCCAATTTTCGAGGAAAGTCCGAACCCCGAGACCCCCACCCCACCCCCAGGCTATACAGGCTTGAGCCATGACAACCTCGACATTTCAGTCAATTTTTCAGAGCTCTGCGGAGGCGAAATATAAGTCTCACAATTACGTGCAGCAAACTCCGTGCAGAGAATGCTACCCTCAATATTCGTTCTCTGTCTCTCACTCATAGTGGCGGCCAATGAAAAAAAAAAAAGAAAAAACACTTACCGAATATCATTTCACTCCTAGCAAAGCTGGGCTCGAAGGGGCCGAAGTAGGTTCTAGGATACGATGCCATTGATGCACAATAAAATTTGCCGCCAGCCTTCTCTGTAGACCGACAGCAAGTGAAACAGGGCTTTCCCGAGCACGGCTCGACCAGTTGTTCGAAAAGCCGCAACCTACTTCAGTGGATCGAGATATGCAAAGACAAAGATCGATCCATCAGACGGATACCCGATTCAGCGAATGTTGCAAATGGAGATTGCTGAAGCTGCATTTTCTGAACGGGGACAGGCGTATTCAGGATTTTCTATTGGATTCCTAAAAAGAGGGTGGGGGCGTCCGACAACCCTTTATGTAGGTTGGCACGTGACTTTATCTGTATGAGTGTATATACAGATATATAGTAAAAAGTTGAAATGGGGTGAAGAGGTGATGACCCCCTCCACGTTGACTACCAACGGCGAATGTGTCATAACAAAGATTATCTACCCGTCTCCATTTGAACAATTCAGCTTCCACTGCCACTGGTGAAGTGGACAAGCTCCGGCTTTGCTATCTCCTCAGAAGTGATTGTTTGGCTTAACACGACCACTTACAGTTGAAAAGCAGCAAGCGGGCTCCGGTGCGATAATCTTCCAGTCTCACCCTCAGCTAGAGGGCCGCAGTGAGAAAATTGAGTCTCCATGATGGGCCGGTATGAGGAATAAGGTTAGGGCGAGGAGGGGTGGGCAAAATGTCAGCTAACCGCTAACGTGGCCATTTGAGAGACGGCCTTGGCCGTATCTAATACAGGGGTGATTTCTGAAGGAGATTTGGCGTGACGTTTCCACAAACGTATCGGTACTATTTTCGAGAATAACAGGAGTCGGGACGCGAATTCGTAAATCAAAAGCTTTTGTTCAACGGCTATGTGGAGCAGCTGTTCCACGTGGTGACCAGATGGGGTGCCTCACCACGAACGAAATGCTCGAGACCAGTAACGTCTATCTTATTACTATCTATCTATCTATCTATCTATCTATCTATCTATCTATCTATCTATCTATCTATCTATCTATCTATCTATCTATCTATCTATCTATCTATCTATCTATCTATCTATCTATCTATCTATCTATCTATCTATCTATCTATCTATCTATCTATCTATCTATCTATCTATCTCTATCTATCTATCTATCTATCTATCTATCTATCTATCTATCTATCTATCTATCTATCTATCTATCTATCTATCTATCTATCTATCTATCTATCTATCTATCTATCTATCTATCTATCTATCTATCTATCTATCTATCTATCTATCTATCTATCTATCTATCTATCTATCTATCTATCTATCTATCTATCTATCTATCTATCTATCTATCTATCTATCTATCTATCTATCTATCTATCTATCTATTGCCTGCCTGCCTGCCTGCCTGCCTGCCTGCCCTGCCCTGCCCTGCCCTGCCCTGCCCTGCCCTGCCCTGCCCTGCCCTGCCCTGCACTGCACTACACTGCACTGCACTGCACTGCCTGCGTGCGTGCTTGAGAAACCTTCTGCTGTAGTAGAATACACGTTAACAAAAACGCTGTCAGCAGGCGCTGCACTCCACTTTTTAGGGGTTAAGCCCCTTACGCCGTGGGTCGCATGCCCCATGTCGTCGTAGTCGTGGTAGCCAGTTACATTGCATTGCATACCAATAAAAACGGTGTCGCAGCATATCCACAGAGTGAATGATGATGAATGGGGCGACACGTCCATCAGTCCGTCCGTGCGTCCGTCCGCTTAGTCCCACTCGCCATCATTCACCTCGTGGATATGCTGTGATTTTTTTCAAATTTGCGTATCATCAGAAGTGAAGAGAAGCTGTCGGCAACGTTAGCCTACATTGGTGAGTGGCCGTTTCAGAAAAAAAAACATGCTTGAAAATAATTGTGAGCAATGTAAAATTATTTAATATACTAATTTATTATTCATTCAAACACATTTTCATCTGATCCTTCCTTCAAAGAAAACAGCAGCAGGCTCCGGCTGTGATAATGTATTTACGGCCCCCAAATCGAAAATAAATGCACCTTTTTTCTAAGGAAAGTGGCCATATATATATATCTATATATATATATATATATATATATATATATACATATATATATATATATATATATATATATATATATATATATATATATATATATATATATATATATATATATATATATATATATATATATATATATATATACACACACACTTCTGGCTACATTCCTGATCAAATCGCTAATTTCCTCCCTCCTTTTTTTCTGCTTCTTTCGTGGTATGATAGTAAGTAAAAGCCGAACTGCTAATTAAGGTAGGCACGTAAATAACTTCCCGTTCGACGCCGGCCCGAAGGCAAGGAACTTCTTCAGAGCTTCGTAAGAGTGAACTTGAGATCTGGTAAACAGTGGAAAAAGAACTTCGCAGTACATATCGAAGACAAGTATATATATATATATATATATATATATATATATATATATATATATATATATATATATATATATATATATCGTACTTTAGGCTCTGCATGAAGCGTAACGCAACATATTCACTCCT